TGGTCGTCATACTGCAGGTCTGTGTACACCATGTATAATTTATTGCACAAGTAATAATATGAATAAAAGATATTCAGGAGGAGCTGCATAAAAATCCATCTCTATTCACAATCAATACCGCTGCTTTGGATAAATTCCTAGAGGCTGTTAACAATTCCTGGAGGCAATTTTCTCCCACAGGTTTTTAACCAATGAGGCAGAGACAGCCTAATACACTGTATCTAGGAATACTGCAGACAGAAATGGGAATATTTTCTGGATTGGAGACCTTGACATTACCATAGATACACTTTTCACTGCAACATGCTTGTCTAATACTCAGGGTAATTAAAATGTGCTGCATGCTTCTGCATAATGTCACAACCATGCAAATAGCACATCCGCAAAAGAAAATAGAGATAATACTGCAAATGATAATGGGCAGCTAAAGTAGTTTATAGTGTAAAAAGTCAAGCACCATTATATGGGCATAGAATTCTGGTTAGATAACTGGTATCCTTATAAACAAATGCACATGGTGCATTATGTACAGAATTATTAAAGGCATATAATTTTACATAATTTGATTCCACAAAAATAAAAAATGTGCTTATATAAAGCATAGTCCTTTTTAAAATGCAAGACAAAATAGGTATTGTGCAATAACTTATAGCAACCAGTCAATATTCCCCTTCTATAGTTCTGTCTGCTCTAAACTGATTACAGACAAAAACTAACTGGTGGCACTCTCAAGCACTGTCATAATCTATTAAATCCCTTTACTGGGCCTCATTTAAAAAAAGCCTTATATTCAGCATTTTTTGAAAATGTCTGGCGAAAAGAGATTTGCAGGCTTATTCAACAAAGGAGTGTACAGAGGGATGATCACGTGCCAAGTACAGTAACCAACAGCAACCAATCAGCAATGCAAGCTTATTCAGCAAGGTACTGCAAGGGCCAGCGAAGATATGCAGTGTACAGTAACATTGAACAACCAATCAGATTTCAGTTGTAATATAAATCCATCATACAACACAGGGTTGGACAAATCCCAGTTGCCAGGTCCCAATGCTCCTTAAAAATTGCAGTGCCTAACTTTTGAGATTTTGTTTAGCTGTTGTCAATGGCTCCTACAAAAATCCTGCTGGCTCCCAGATTGGAGAAAGTTGCTCCTTGAATTCCATATTCATTTGTTGATTCATCTCTTGATTTAAGACATGTATTTATTTATTGTAGGTTACTGCACATCATCAACGAAATGCGGACTATTAACTGATTAATTTTAGCAGTGCGTGTTGTATTTATGTATTTATTTATTTATTTATGTATTTATTTATTTATTTTGTGTATTCATAGCTCTGCTCTGCGTGACCTGTGTTATGTCATGTAAATGGTAACAAATGAGTTAATGTCTTGTGGCATCATAATAAAATGTTTGGCGTCTACCGAAGCTGCTTTATCCACTGCTGCTTTTGAAATAGCGTTGGATGTATTAGCGTTCCCCTCCAGTTTGTTTAAAGCTGACAGGAGCAGAATGAGAGGCGCTGAGCTCTAGGGCTAGCTAGTATGGATAGCCTTAAAAGGAGCTGTGTTTGCAGAGCTTGTAAAATGTAGCACTGCAGTTAACGCTTCAGCACCGCGGACAGCTCCACCGACGCATTGCTGAATGGAGGGGATCTAGCGCAGATGGTGCATGTCTCCAATGACACATAGAGCCATTGACTTGGCCCCAATCAATGGATGGTGTATGGACCCTATCCTGCTTTGTGTTACACCATAAATTGGCTAGCATTAAAAGCAAACCATGTGATGTTATTTCAAGCAGGCAAGAAAGCAAGCAACACAACATAAGACCCCTAATAAAGATGCCTATATAATACAGGCATAGGAAACAAACTTGTGTATTATGATGGTATAGATAAAGATAGATCGATAGATAGATAGATAGATAGATAGATAGATAGATAGATAGATAGATTATAGATAGATAGATAGATAGATAGATAGATAGATAGATAGATAGATAGATAGATAGATAGATTATATATACACACACACACACACTAACTAAAGATGCTCCCATTATAAAAGCATAGTACACACACCAGTGTATAATGATATAATATATACACACACACTATCAAAGATGATCCAATTATAAATGCATTGAACACAAACCAGTGTATAATGATATAATATATACACACACACACTACTAAAGATGCTCACATTATAAAAGCATAGCACACAAACCTGTGTATTATGATGTAATACACATACATACATACATACATTCATACATACCCCCTAATAAAGATGCTTCCATATATATTAAAAGCATAGTAAGACCACGTATTATGGTGTAATATATATATATATATATAAAAAAAAAATTTTAATGGGAACATTATAAAGTGTGTATAATATATAAATATATATATATATATATATATATATATATATTTATATATTATACACACTTTATAATGTTCCCATTATAAGAGCATAGTACACAAACCTGTATAATATAATCAATAAATATTCACACACACACACCGGCTTATTCAGTAGGGCTTCACACCAATCCATTATGATGTGCAGAGGAACCCATAGTAACCAATCACATTTCACCTTACTGTAGCAAGATCATTGAAAGATGATTACTGAGTGGTTGTTACCGGTTGATACACTTTGTACATCTGCACTGCCTCTGTTCCTTTTTCCAATTCAGTCATTCATTGCACTTTCCTTTACAGTACAATATCATAAAAATACTATCTTCTGGCATGTGTGATATCTATCTACCTAAACAGTAATTGAATCCAAGGCTTTTAAATGTGTTTTTAATGTCTTTTTTGGGTGATTATTTAAGCCTAGTGCCATAGACTTGAATCATTTTACAGTTTAGAGTACAAGACAATAGATAATTAATCTGAAAGGAAAGAGAGAGAGAAAGCGAGAGAGAGAGAGAGAGAGAGAGAGAGAGAGAGAAGGGGGGAGGGGGCAGGGTGAATCTGCAGAGTTAGCTGAAATTCTTACTGCAGTTTCTTACTTCTTTGAAAGATGAGCGTCCTCTACTGGCCTTAGCAAATTCTATCTTGGCATTGTGTTGCTTTTGGTTTGTACTCTAACAATACTTCACCAAAATACACACTCTATAGTGATAGCCAAAGTGACCGATATCCTCTGCAGTGCTATCACAGTAATAATGTGCTATATAAATGTGCAGTTGAGCTTTTCCTATCGACAGCTTGCTAAAAACTATGCCAGAGCTCACATTAAAAAAAAGTATCATTTTCTGGATGAAGATGCAACTTCATCAAGTATGCTGCTTATATGGCATGCCTGACAATCGGTCAAGGTGGCCCCGTCAGTGGAATTCTAAATAAGCAGACGTAGAAAAGAAACAGCATTGCTTCTTATTCTTGCGGATCCTTGATCAGATTAGGCTAGTTCTTTAAATGTCTAGCTCTTCTTGAAAGATTCCAGCCTCTAGATAGCAAACTGCACAAATCTAATTGTCAAAGGGAAATAAAGTGATGTGCCACTTCTATTACCATATCTCCTAGGAAAACTGAGATTCATACAGTGGCAGATACACTACTAGCATGCATGATCCAAGAGCAAAGAACTAATCTTCCTATTATGCTTGTATTCATTTCAGGTCACTTTGCATATTGAGTATATAATATCACAGGCTGCAATGTTGGCTGTAGACCAGCTCTCTTGCCCTTCTGTTCTAGAACAAATCCAATTTTTGCAAATCTCAGTAAAGCTTTTGCAATGTGCCCTTGTAAGTATGCATCAGAGGGATGGGAACTGTACTTAATTGTGACTTTACAGCAATAGTTTACAAGCTTTGCTGTTTTCCCCCTGCACTGCAGTCTTCCAGCCTGCCCTCCCCCAACTCACACTGTACTTTACTGCTGCAGCTCATGCACATTTTACATCCTACTCTGCTTTCACCTTCACTTCTGCAATTACCCAGAGGATGCATGCACCAGTACACCTCAGAATACTAATCAGCCTTCCTTTGAAACGTTCATGCATTACGCATACTGGAGTTACAAGAGCGTTGTGATCTCTATAATCTGAATAAGATTAATTAGGAAACTTTGATTCTGCATAGCACATCATGAGAGCGCCCTCTGCTGGATGTTGGCGCTGCAATGTAATGAAGCGCATCATAGAGAAATGATGTAGTACACAGTAGTATGTAACTGTATGTGTTGGTGTTTACATGGACCTGAGCATGACAATAAAACGTGCATCTTTCTGTATTCTTTTTTCGAAATGCAATCTCAGGGAAGCTGCCGCAGGATTTGACATTGCAAATATATATGTTGCATTTAACCTAGCTATCTATCACAGAAGAAAGACAATGTTTCATTACCTGGTGATCTATCTATCTCATTTATTATGTATAACTGTATCTATAAGTGTATTACAATTCATCATTATCATTTGTCCATTCATATTTATCTATCTATCTATCTATCTATCTATCTATCTATCTATCCTTATCATCATGTATATGAATTCATACATCTATTTATCTCTTTATACTTACCATCATATCTATCTATCTATCTATCTATCTATCTATCTATCTATCTATCTATCTATCTATCTATCTATCTATCATCACTTTATGTTTATCATCATGCATATGAATCTATCTATCTATCTATCTATCTATCTATCTATCTATCTATCTATCTATCTATCTATCATCACTTTATATTTATCATCATGAATATGAATGTATCTATCTATCACGTTGTACATCATGTATATGAAAATCAAACTATCTATCTATCTATCTATCTATCTATCTATCTATCTATCTATCTATCCAGTCAATACATCAAAACATACAGATGAGTAAGATGCATTATCATAGCAGTTTACAATTACATATTGCAAACAAATCTGGAAAAGTGAATGGGGTGCACTACCCTGCCAAATGTGGGTTAATACATATCTCAAGCACATGCATAAAGAGGAGTGGGATACATTACCCTGGCAGCTTTGGAAGAATATGGGTCCTCAAAGAGAGCCCAGACTTTTGGCTGGCATCTCTTCCACCAGCCCAGCTTCCTGCCATCTTCCTGAAGGCAGAGCCTTTTCAGATCCCCATCTTCCTCCTCCTCGGGCTCCGGGGCCTCAAAGCTATCCAAGGCTTCCTCGGCATCTCGATGCTGCCGGTAGTTCATCCAGCAACAAGCCTCCACGTCCGTCTCATCGATGCCCCAAAATGCCAACTCCTCTTCGTAGAGGGGGCCGCACACATCTGAAGGGCAATGCAGCTTGCCAGTCCTATAGTAGTTCAAGACAGAGGCGAAGACCTGCGGGTGTCTGTCGAAGAAGAACTCGTCTGTTTTGGGGTCATAGTCAAAGTTACTGAAGGCATCAGGCTCCGTGAGCCAGGACAGCCTGGTCCCTGGCAGGGTTTTGAGGGTACTCCGGTAGGTCTCATGCCTGACGCCCCCAACATTAATGACAATCTTGTCGCTGTCCTCGTTTTTGCCCATATCTCCTTTCAAACATGACTTGGAAGGAGGCTTGTTACCAGACTTGCGCCCGCGGAAGGAGGAAACACAAACTGAGCTGATCATAAGTGCCTTGGTTGCTTTTTTTTCTTTTCCTTCTTTTTTTTTTTTTTTTTCCTGGAGAAATCCGCAAGTAGGGATCAGATTTCACTAGGACATCGAATCGTGTGGCTTCAAACTGGAAGCGTCATCACCCTCATCCTTTTTTTTTTTTTTCCCTGCCTCCTCTTCAGCTCACACACAATCCAGCCCCCTGCGCTCCCCCTGTCCAAAAAGAGACTTAGGACATCGAGGTGTGAAAGCAAGGGGACAGCTTGCTTGGGATCTCAGAGCTTCCCAAGTGCAGGACAGACACGACAGTATAGGTAAGAGCTACAAGCTGGAAGACTAATAGGCTGGATGGATACTTTTGATGTTGTGTGTTCTTAGGAGCTGGATCCTTGTCTCTTTGTCCAGGCGCTGCTGGGAGTCTGAAACAGGAAACAAACAAAGGACAGGTTCATTTTATTATTATTATTATTATTTACCATGGTGTCATTCCATTCTCATCAGCATGAGTTCTGTGTGTTTGTGTGTGTGCTTCATCCATCACATCATTTCCCTATGTCCATCAGCAAAGCTACAGTCTGATGCTTTGCCAGGTCCTTCTACTTTTCTCCTAGCAATCTTCCTTTACTGCCTCCAATAATGTATGCCATGGCAATCCACCGATCTACAATTGCCTACTGTACTTTTCTCTGACGTTTGGCTTTTCACTTTCCCTCATTCTCCATTCTGCAGTTCTGACTCTTTGATCAAGTTTAAGCCTCTTAAGTTGCATGTTAAAAATACTGTACTATGTGGGAAGGGATTGTATAGAATGTACTGTACTTTACAAACTTGTGATTTACAATGCAGATGTAATGTAATGTGTAACATAGTATACATAATACATACATAACATACGTATAGTAATAGTACATATAGTATGCACTTAACATATTGCACACAGGCAATGGTAGTCAATAGTCATAATGCATACAATGAAGTTATATATGTGTAATGTGCCATAAATATATATATATTATAGAATATAGAATTATAGAATTATATATAGAATATATGTGCCACAGAGATATATGTATCAGATATATAACATATTGTACACAGGTTAAGGTAATCACAATACATGAAATGAAGTTACTGATGTGTAAAGTGTCGTAAAATATGACATACATATTACAGAAATATATGTATTAGTTAGATAACATAATGTGCACTTGTAATAATAACCATAATATGTTAAATAATATGTCATAGAAATATATGTATTAGATATAGAACATATTGTGCACATGTAATAATAAGTATAATGAGATATATAACATAATGTGCACATGTTATAATAAGCATTACACATTTAAGTAATTTATGTGTCATGCTTCATACAAAAAATGATATGTATTTTTTGGAAATATATGTATTATAGATGTATAACATATACTGTATATGATCTTCATGATATATTTTGCATGTGTGTATCTGTATATGTACACACACATAAGTGTTGTATACTGCATCGTTAGCCCTGTATACAGTAGGCGATACAAGGAATAAACCTTCATGAGCTACATATAGCAAAACCCCCTTATCTTGAAATGACACTCAGCTAAAATCATTTGCTCAAATCTTGCTAGCCATGTATTGGTGTCACTTTGGATGATCACAACGCTTCCCTGAATAATACTAGATAGGTTGTAGGGAGGGAGGGAGATGGGGGGGGTGCAGTTGCTAAGTGTATTTTGTTCAGTGATTCTTGTATTGGTAATGTTGAAGAAATGCTGATTTGACTGCTTTTGGCTGATCAATAGACTGCACTGTAATAAGGTAAGTGATCCTGTGCCTCGTGTATTTCTAAAGTCTGAACAGGAGCTGCTGTTCTGCTTTATTGTGGTTGCTGTAGAAAGCTGCATGGTGCCTCTTTTTTTTTGCTGATGTTTGTAAATCCTGCGGTGCTGTACGCTTGCACAGATTACTAAAGCTAATTGACATTTTGCTACGTGCACACTATTCCCATCCATGGGGGCTGATTTATGGAAATCAGAGGCAGAGAAGCGCACAAGCGGTTGCCCACAGCAACCAATCAGCTTTCATCTGTCATCCTGCAGCCTGCAATGCAGGAAATGAAACAGGGAATGTGATTGGCGGGCTCCAGGCAACAGCACCCCTTGTCTCCCATCCTGTTCTTGTGGTCCAAACTGCCCACTATGCAGGTTTATTCAGTAAGGCTCTGCAAAGTCCAGAAGCCCAATCAGCTTGTAAGATGTTGCAAAACGCAGTGGACGATGGCTGTGATTGGTTGCTATGGATTACTGCAATTTATTCATTACTCTTTTCTTTATGAAATAAACCTATTACGGACATGTTCACCGGTAATGTGCAAGGTGCAGCAATCCACAGTAGTAAAGCACATTTCAGTTTAATGTGTCATGGAATCATTTTCCTCTTAATCCTTTCAATGATTATGTCTTTATATAATGCCCCTTTGAAATCACCATTGCCTTGCAGATTGGCCCATCGCCTATCAGTGATATGCTCTTCTTAAATACTTCTCGTTCATCCAGCATCCTGCAATCATCCATTTCCCCTCCAAGCACATCCTCAGCGCTGTAATTGTGATTAACTTGGCGTTTTTGCAGCATCAGGACCTCAAGGGGAGCTGTAGGTTACACAGAGAAGGGAGCACAGAGGGGGAAAAGCTCCCCAGACTCGTCCTTGCTCTGATGCTCAGCGAAATGATTCGTCCTTACCATCCCTGCAGAATATTCATTATTATTACCAATGCCGTCATTTTAATTCCAGTACA